TTGTTGCTGTTGGTGTTTGGCTGGCGACTGCTGCTGCTGCTGCTGCTGCTGCTGCTGCTGCTGCTGCTGCTGCTGCTGCGGTTGTTGCTGCTGAGCCATGTGTTGCTGCTGTTGCTGCTGCTGCTGTTGCTGCTGCTGTTGCTGCTGCTGTTGCTGCTGCTGTTGCTGCTGCTGGTTTGCGAGGGTGGCGTTTGCCGGCTGAGCGGCTGCGCGTTGGTTTGCAAGTGACATGGCGGCAGAGTGACTCAAAGCTCTAGTTTGCCCTCCAGGTACTGCCTGCGTGTTGGCGCTCTGCGGTGTGGCTACCCGTGCGGCACCCTGAGCTGGAGTTTGTGCCTGCGCGTTGGCGAGGGCTGTGTTGACGGGGGCCGGTGGCTCTTGTTTAACCGCTGCACCACCCCGCGCCGCCGCATTCTGGGCCATGCGCGCCTGCTGCTGCTGCGGCGTCGGGGTGTTTGTCGCCGGTGTCTGCTGCTGGCCGGCATTTTGCTGTTGATTTTTGGCGGCTTCGACGGCGGCATTGACTGATGCCGTGACGTTTTGATTCTGTTGCTCTGCCGGCGTTGCTGCGCCGTTTGCCTTATTCTGCGTAGCACCTGCACTTGCACCTTGGCTGAGGCCTTGAACAGTTTCCTGCTGCTTCCTCACCGTCTCGATCCACTTTTGCCCGTTGCTGTGCAGTTCGAGTTGCTTCTCTCGATGCTCGCGGTACTGGCGGAGCTCTTCGTCTTTCAAAGGGTTGCCGGCTTGGGTGCGCTCTTGAAAGACCTTGTCCATGCTGGCGACCTTGTTCTTGGCAGATTCCATGGTCATGAGAGCACGTCCATAACGCACTTTCAAATCTTCCACCCATTTCGCGGCGTCAGCGGCAGACTTTTCAGAGAGATGATGGGGCGCTTTGAACGTCATCTTGTTGACAAGATTCATCAAGCGCTCTGGGACCTTGGGCTGCGTAATGGCTGCGGTGACTGAGGGTTTCTCGGCCGTCGAACTCTGGATTGGTGCGACAGCTCCTCCATTAGCATTACCAGCCGGCTTGGCGGCAGCAGCAGCCGGCTGCTGGGCCGACTTATGTTGCGCCGCGGCTGTCTGCTGCTGGGTCGTCTGTCCTTGGGGGCGTTGGGCTCCGACCTGCTGACCTTGCTGCTGACCTTGTTGTTGACCTTGCTGCTGGCCTTGTTGCTGCTGCGCCTGCGCTCGGCGACTCTGGATCTTGTTGATGAGCATGCGCGAAAACTCGATAATTTTATTACGCGCTGCGAGGTGATCCTGGCTGTTGGGCGGGGAGCTGTTCATGCGAGTCCAGAGGCCCGTGACGCCATGCTCGTATTTGACCTTTTCCTCTTCACTGAGAAAGGGCAGACTTCTAATTTGAGCCGGCTGATACATGGGCGGAGGGCGCGACTGAGACTGGCCGGCCTGGCCAGCCTGGCCCTGCTGCGGCTGCCCCCCAGCGGTGTTCATGTCGTCGGCAAGCGTGTTCGATCGAGAAGTAACGATGAGTCGCGTAGAATCGAGGTAGATTACAATGGGATTTCCAACAAGATAAGTTTAACAAATGATGGTACAGGACATCTGACGTGTATGTAGGATGGCGTCGATGATGTCGCGTTGGGAAGACGTAGAGTCGCACACGTAGTTCTGAGGGTCGAAGGCGATTAAAGACGGCCCACTCAACCGAGGGGACGAATATTTTTTGCGGCCGTTTTGGCTGCTGAATCAGCGGGGGAGGCGGATACAGTCGCAGCGTAGCAGCCAGCGGTGTAGCCGACTTGTTAGCAGTTACCGCAACCACTCGGCAGAACCCTAACAGCGCTACTCGAACGCTGTCTGGCACCCGCATTTGTAGCTGCAACTCCACTTATCCCACCGAGTTGCGAGCTACCCCGACTTCTCCAGAAGTGGTAATCAGACGTTATAGATGCAGAAGTATTTCATGATGTCGAAATTTAGCATCATCGCGGAAAAAGAGGAGCGCATGCACTATAGCATACAGATGTTATAATACAAAAGCTTGTGCAATGCCGCATTAACTTGTTTCGTTTTCTGTAGCATTGTACCTCTGCCGCCTGCTGCGGGGACACTACGTGGTGGCAGGCTTGTCATGGAGCGAAGGGGGCTTGATAGCGTCCAGCGGATCATGCACCTGTACCATCACTGCGATATTGAATCACCAGACAGAAGACAGGCACAAGGTTGACGTACAGGGTCGATGCTTTTCGAGGCCACCAGACACCCGCGGCCAGTGATTCGCTCGCGGCTCGCTCATGGGGTGGCATCCGGAAGACCCCGCTGGCCAAAGCACTGCGACGAGCACTTGCATATTACATGGCGCCAGCCTGCCGGGCAGTGAAGGAGGTCCTGCAACGGAACCAGACTGTATACGATTAGATGACGGTTTGTGCAAGAGTTGATGCCGCTACTAATTTGCGGAGTATCGTATGTCTTTGTATAAATGCCGCGGCACGTGGAAGCATGTAGGGATCTTGCGCGGTGCTTGCGCGGCTGAGTGTAGATCTGCTCGAAATGACCTTTGAAAACACGTCATGCTTTTGATTGGCTGCTGGGGTTAAATGGACGGAGAGCTGTCCCGAGGTGCTATCAAGGCTCACGGCCAATGCGACGTCAGAGGGCTGTATCTGCATGTGAACTGTGCATGGACATGGCGTAGAGGGCTGAGCCTGCTGGGGTCGTTGGCACTATGTGTACATGGAACATTGAAATTTGCATAAATTGAGGTTTCACACACAATTGGGGGCTGGTGAAGATTGTTTGTGTATTGCAGGAGAGTCTGCAGTCTCTGCACGTGTAGAACTTTGCGTCATTGTCAGATTTGAAAACTCGTAATGCTCATCTTCAGCCGCTTCAAACATGAAACACGGACCCAAGTAAGGGACGAAAAGGAAAGCTCCGATTGCAGAAGTATACACTAGTTAGCGTCATTAGAGTTTCCATATATAGTTGCTGCGGGCTTGCTCCGCGTTGGCACGCGATATCAGCCAAGAGCATTACACGGAGCATATCGCATAATACCAATTTCGAACAACGGCCATGTTCATTATTTCGCAACCCGTGTGTATTCAGCCTTTCAGAGTAATAGCATGAAGCAAGAAACTGGGACTCGCCCAGAGCCGGCAGTCACGGGGAATCCATACACGGCCATGTCGACCCCTCTTCGTCGAGGTGCATTAGGCTCGTGCTAAATCCCTGTCATGGCCGTTCAGCGGATGGGTGGCTCGTCACTCGAGAGGCTTTTACTGGTAGGATGTTAATATGGGCAGTCAGAAAAAATTTCCCGGCTGTTCTAGAAGTTACGCAAGTGTGGATTGTTGTGCGCAGCTGGAGGGGCCTGGTCTGAAGAATGAGTCTTTTGGGCGTCGATTGTCAAGAAAAAAAGGGGAGACTTTTGAGTCTGCGACACATGTGCGGGAAGCATTGATGCCCAACGCGAGAGCAGATGATGCACAGCATAGACGCCGCATGGGGGCCCCGGCGGGCGCAGGTACAGACAAGCAGTTTGTGCCAGGACGTATTCATGGGCCAGTCAGCGAGAGAGACGAGGTTTATCTTGTTGATTTGAGGGCTAGCGAGATAGGTAGGTGAGTGCGCAGACCGACCCATAGGTAGGCGGGAAGAAGGCGGAAGCTTTTGTATAAGATGCCGTGGAGCTGCCGGCGCGACATGGAGCAGGCTGTTTCATTGTTGCACAAACTTTGTTTTCGAAAGACGGCGACATTATTTTTCCTTCTTTTCGTTTTCCTTTGACGTTTGTTTATTTCCTCCATTTTTTCACTGAGCGAAACATTACAGCAGCTACCTGTCCCAATTGTATCTGGCAAGGCCATACGAAGTAGCATCCATCCAGGTCCAGACCGCCAGATCCAGCACCACGAGAGAATCTGAAACGGCGGGGAAAGAAATAGAAAGAGGAACAAGAAATGAGCTTCCTGGACTGTATGCGTATTGACGGCTGAACAATTCATCTTGACCTTGGCTTTTGTCACCGAGTCACGCCCTTTGTCCTCGGCTTCTACCGAGATAGGGATACCTTACCAAGAACTGGCGAGATACAGCGCATTGAGGCCTACCTATTATAAGGTACAGCGCAAATTGGTCGTGTTATAGTGGCACAGTCCCTAGATGACCCCTGGGTGCGCTCCGCTAGCAGCCGCTAGCTTGCATGCAGAGCCCTATAACGCCCTTCATATGAGACGCTTCTGATGAGCTGGACTGAGCTGAAATGATTTTTTAGGTAATTTGCTGAATTTCTGAATTTCTGACCTTCTTAACATGTGGTGTTTCGCTTGCCGCTTGCCTGTGCTGCTTGCTGCTTGCTGCCTGCTTGCTGACTGCTTGCCAGTCTGCCTCATCTACCGCCCTGGTCCTTTTTCCCTGTCTCCCTCTCTCAGCTCTTCTCCCTGCCCTCTCGCTTCCTTTTTTTTTTCCTTGCCGACATATTACTTTGGGTAGTTCCGTACTGGCCGGCTTGCCCTCTTTGCCTTCTCATCAACCCTCGCCCACCCTCGTCCTCGTCCTCTTGCCCTCAACAATACCTACCTATCTATGGGCGACTCAGGCAACGTTTGCTGTTTGACCACGACCACTCACCAATTATATCCCGTTTCGGCTCTAGTGGCTCGTCAATCCGCGTGCCCTGTTGCTCCTCGCTCAGCCCTCCCCAAGGCGCACAGCTTCGCCGTTCGAGGCCGTCTCGCCCGCCACATTCAACACCATCGCCATTCCAAGACGGCCCTAGACCGTCACGTCAGTACTTGTTCGGGTACTGCCTTTTCCTCTTTCCAGTCAAGGCTCAGCAGCAGGCTGATTTAAATCCAAGAGGGAGCCGATTACTCCAGTACCATCAGACATCTCTCGTGTCCAGCAAACGCACTCTTGCATACAGGCACGCACACGCACACAGATAATTATACGCAGCGCAGCCCTCGAACAGAAAGCAGCTCTCGTCCTCGCTGCTCTCTCCAAACCACCCCTCCATCTCCCCCCATTATCATGACCACCATCGCAAACCGCACTCTGCCTTCTTCTCCGCTCTGGCGGTTCATACTCGGGACTTGGACTCCCTGACTCGACCGCAACTTGCCCTGCGCTCCCGCACCGCTATCTGAGTATAGCGCTCTCCCGCTGCCCCTCTCTGGCGCATGCCCATGCATTGAACCATAGAACACCAAAGGCCAATCACCAATTACCTTGAACTAGGCACTGCGACCTGCAAGACAATACGTTTCTTTTTAACCCGGCCTGTCCTGCAGTCGCCGGCATACAACTACCCGTTCCCTGCCTGCAGCGGCCGCTTTTCGTCCCATAGAATTGCTGCGGCCCTCTTGCGTGTGCTTGCCGCAACTGTGACTCTTCCTACTTGGCACCGCCTACCACCGGTCGAGAGCGAGAACACACAGGGTCAATTGACGGCGGAACAGCACATCAACACACGTTTTTACATCTCCTCCACGTTCGCTTTGACACCGCAACATTCATCCCCCCTTTGAAACAAATTCGCGGATTTTTATACAATTCCTGCTGCCAGCATAACCCCTACCGCTTAGCACCCTCGCCATGCCTGCTCCCAAAGGTGGTAGACGGCAGCCTGCGATGCCTAACCTCAACTTGAGTCGCCAGCAACTTCAGCAGACCAAGTCTCAAGCTGACCCAACCTCTCCTCCACATACACCGACAGCATCACCCCAGAAAACTCGCAAGAGCCAGCCTGTCTTTGATCAATCTTCTCGCAGCGTTCCAATGGACCCTCACATTCGACCCGTCGGTCACGACCACCAGTTTAGCTACCGGCCGACTGTCAGGCCAGAGCAGCTCAGCCCTCGCTCTTCCTCGTCTGAAGTTCCAGATGATTTCGATGATGACGAGTACTCGTCTGGAGATGAGGATGATGATGAAGAAGAAGAAGCAGAAGAAGAAGAAGAAGACGACGAAGAAGACGAGCTCGACTATTCACGTGGACCCATCAAGGCGCCGTCGCCTCTAGCTGCATCTGATACCCAATCATCGTCCGAAGAAGAGCCTGGCTCGGAGGAAGACATTGAAGAAGACGAGGAGGAGGAAGAAGACTCTGAACTGGATAACTCTACTGGGGAACGGCCAATCCCTTCCGTCGGAAGAGTAGTACACATGGAGGAGGTTAACGAGGATGATGATGATGATGAAGATGATGAAGACGAAGACGAAGACGACGATGACGAAGAGGTGGAGGAGGAAGATGTTGACAATGAGAACGAAGAGGAGGAGGAAGACGACAGCGACAACGATGACGACGGCATGTCACGACCAACGATGGAATCGCCGGTTTTCACCACCTTTACTACCGCAACAACCACCGTCTGCGACTTTGTCCTCGAGGAGATAGATCCCATGGATAGCGACAATGGCCTATCTGTCCTGGACCCATATGAAATCGAATCCAATCGCAGCCGATCGAGCTCCAAGCACAGAGACGACCACGGACCACCCTTTGAGCACCGAGAGCTACCCATCAGGATGATGCAAGACATGCGTAACCTTCACTGCAGCAACGAAGCCTCGGACGAGGAAGCAGAGCAGGACACGGAAGAAGCTGCCTTTTACAAATGGCAGCAGTACATGCGCCGACGCCGGCTCAGTGTCTCGAGTAGTATCACCGGTAAACGCACGTTTAGTGAGCGTAGCGCCTCGGACGACTCAGACGACGGCGGTCTCGACGTCAACGAGGTTGGCTCCAGCGCACGCCGCATGCGCAAGCGCTTGCACCGCGGCAGCTTGCTCTTCCAGGACCCGCCAGAGCCGCGCATTGACGAGCTTGAAGAGCCTAACTCGAGCGAGGACGAGTACCTTCCGACTCAGCACCTCGGCATGCAGCTGCCTTACTGGACAATTGAGATTAACGAGATGGAAGACTCGCAATGAATGATATCATGTGGTCGATGGAAATGAAGGGGATAGTCTTGATGGTCCAAGGAATTGACGGCATATGAAATGACTTGTTGGAATGATGTTTGGTTCATGACACCATCTTGCGATGTAATTTGGGAAGGAATTTGTTGTTTGGAAAGAAGTTCAATGGATAGACATGGGCTGCATTTGGTTTCGAGTTGTACTGGGATCGAACGCTTCTGATGGGGTTATTCATGGCCACATTGGCAGATGCGATGATCTGAGGCAGAAAATGGGAAATGCCTGCCATGAGCATGTTTATTGTTATTTCTGGGATTCTTGTTTTCGCAATTAGATAGGTATAGACATAGAATGGGAAAGCGTTGCATGACCATGTTCGCCAGTCATTGGTGTGTATGGAGGGAAGACGATATTCGTGTAAATTGGGTCTTCAAGGGTGGTAAAAGGCCGATGAAGAAGAACCATAATCAAGATGATAGTAATTAATCGAGAGCATCATAGCATGTTTCGAAGCTAATGCTTCGTGTGTGTCAATATCATTACCCAAATAAACTATGTGCCGGCCGGCCATAGTGGGGGACGCGGGGCGGTCGTGCGACAGCGAAGCCGTATTTTGCTCTCCACTGCCGTACCGCCAAGCTTCCGATTTCAACGACGTCTCTTTTCCAATTCCCAACCGCCATTCCTTTTTTTGCGACTTTTACGTAAAACGCAATATCATTCAAGCTTCGAACTACGACACCACGCAACGCAGAGTTCTTTTCTAATCCTTATACACTTGTCGATCCTGCTCTGCAACAGGACGCGCCCAGAGTCGCGTCACGACAAACAGCCACAATGTCACGCCTGAGTCCGCATCTGGAGCAAATCAGCTACTCCTGTCAAGGAATCGACTCTCTTCCGTAAGACCACATTTCTGGAAAACAAGCCGAAGAATCATCAACTCACCATGCTCAGCTTCCCGCCTCCCAAAATATTCACCAACGCGCTCCTCTCCGCCCCCGACATCACCTCTCTGATCCGCGACACCGAACCCCACGAGCGCGCCCTATTCTCCGTTCCCCCGCCACCTCCTCCTCTCGCCCATACCAAACGCGCTGCCTCCGTCTCTGCCTCTGACGACGCGAAACCCGCGGCTAAGCGCCGCCAGACCGTCTTCAACGTGACGGCGACTGGCGACGTAACGACTGGCGGCGGCGGCGGCTCGTCCACACGCGCGGCGGCTCAGCCCCGGAAACACACGGCCGTAGCGGCGGTGCTGGGCGGCGCGATGCACGAGCGGCTGCGGGAGGACCGTCGAGGGGGTGCGGTGGTGGACGTGGAGGTGCTGCTACGGGGCGCGGAGACGCTGTGCGGTGTGTATGAGCTGCCGGGCGCGCGGGAGCGCATCGCGTCGCTGAGGGCAAAGTATAGGAATGGGAAAGAGACGGTGGAGTACTATGAGGGCAAGGTGGCGGAGCAGGGAGCCGAGTTGGCGAGTCAGAATCGGGACTGGATGGCGGAGGATGAGGAGGAGGAGGGGGAGGAGGGTGAGGGGGAGGATGAGGAGGGGGATGTGTGGACGGAGGAGGATTTGAAGAGGGAAGAAGAAGAGGCGAGGGAGCTGGAGACGAAGAAGAGGGTACTGCAGGCAAGGTTGAGAAACATGGAAAAGGATCTGGGTGGGTTGAAGAATATGTAGCACTTGATGTTTAATGAGTACATGATGTTTAATGATTGATTTTATTGGTTGAGATGCGCTATTCCAGTCTAGTATAAAGAATCTGCTAAAGGAGCTTTTTCAAAAAGAGCCTTCAAATTCCGGGTATCATCTTATCTGTCCCAAATGACAGTATTCAAAGTTAAACATAACAATTCGTTGCGTCTGAATGCGCATACCAAGTCCACAGTATACCGCCGAATCCCCCCACAGACGGTAAAGAAAAATAATAAAAAACAAAGATGCAAGTCATCAATGACAGAAAGCCGTAGGCTTCTCTGACACAATCGTTTTCATGCCCACTCATGACGACACCTTCCGCTGCCCTACTGTTGTCTGTAGGCTGAATAGGGATGCATCTAGTACGAGGAGGAGGAGGAGGAGGGCATGGGCGTTAGACCAAATCTGCAGAGAACCCTCCGTATCCGCTGGGTCCGCCAAATCTGCCAGGGTGCGACATATATGCGCGACTCGGTAGCCAAACGCCAAACCTGTACTCCCCCTCAATCCGGTTGCGCACCCGCTGTCGTCTCTCCATCTCCTGTTGTTCCCGGAGGCGATTCTGCCTCTCCTCCTCCACTCTTGCCGTCGCTTGTCGGCCAAGACGCGGATACCGCACCGCAGCATCCCACTCCTCCAGGCTCGCGTACGGGCTGCGCAGCCACGCCCCCAGCTCGTGCGACAGCAAGCGCGCCGAGCTCCGGCCCAGATTTGCCGTCAGCAGGACCTCGAGCAGCCCCATGCCGGTGCCGATATCCCGGTTCTGGAGCACGCTCACGGCGTGCTCGATGAGAAAGGCGGCGCGCTCGGCCGGCACAGAGTCAAGGACGCGCAGCTCGCGTTGGAGAAAGGCGCGGGCGCGCGTGATGAGCTGCGGCTCGCGGTGGAGCAGCGCGGGCGGGAGCTCGCGGTAGCCGCTGATGGAGCCCGAGTCGACGTGTATGAAGAGGAGACCCCGCGGGTAGACGTCGCGACGATGCGCAATGTCGCGGGGTGCGGTGTTTGCCGCGCGTCTCATGCTGCGGGCGTATGCGGCACCGGCGGCGGCAAAGTCGGCGGGTGTGTACCGGGGACGACGCGTTGCGGGGGTGTGTGAGGATGGACCTGGCCAGAGCTGCGCGAGGAGGATTTCACCCGGGCTGCGAATGTCGTTGATGGGACGGCCAGGGAGGCCGCGCGGGCCGCGGATGATTTGGTTGACAAGGACCTTGCACAGCGGGCAGCGACGGCTCACGGCGAGCCAGGTGCCGATGCAGCCGACGTCAAAGTTGTAGTGGCCGCAGGGGGCGAGCTCGCAGGGATCGCTAATTTCTTCGAGACAGATGACGCAGCAGTCCTCAGAGTCGGGGTTGTGGGTGGAAGGAGCGGCCCGAAGGTCGCGGGGGTTGGTGCTGGTATCCTCGTCGGCCATGACTTGGGGCGAATGAAGTCGTGGGAAAGAAGGTTGGGTGAGAGAGGATGGGTGAGAGAGGATGGTGAAGGGCTGTCGTAGAGGTGACAAGTGGTTGTAGAGGTGAAGTGTTGTGTGGAGGTGAGGTGTTGTGTAGAGGTGAAGAGTTGTTACAAAGGTACAGAACCGTTGTAAAAGGTGAAGAATGTTTTGTAAAGTGAAAGATGGTTTCAAAGCTAAAGACGTGTTGTTGGAGTGAAGAAGAGGACGGAGGGAGAGGGAGAGAACGAATATATATAGAAGTGCGGCATTCAGAGTTTGATGGCCGGACATGACCTGACGAAGTTCGGTTGGTAGCTTCAATGGCGGTGGCTGGCAAAGTGCTTGTACAAAAACTCTATTCAACACCACTACTTCATCTACTGGCCCAAAGTCTTGCCGACAATGAAAGTAAAAATTACAGCAAAGCCCCAGTAGTCTAAATCGGATAACGTTTGTGTTCATCACGGGTATTGGTCCCCTACACAACTTTACAATGTCACGATCTATGCTTCTCGGGAGCGGGCTGCCGATGTTTTTTAGCGCACGTGGCGTACAATGCTAGCTCCAGATCGAGGCTTATTCAGTGGAGACTCATCATGAAAAAAGCTTCCCGTCAAATAGAAAAAGAAAAGTCAAAAAGCTAGATCCAAGCGGAGCCGTGCAGTGCGAGAGTTGTAGGGCTGAAGTAAATTGTGAGGCTAGTTTTCTTGACAGCGTTTGAAGCCGCACATTCTACCTGACACCGGTTGATTAATTCTTGGTGGCGTTGATGGTATGTGGACAAGTAGATTCGGGGGAAGCAGCACTCGGTAAACTTTGTCAAAACTGAACGCTCAATGTGCTGTGGTGTGGCCAGGTAGTTGGTGTTTGTCAGCTTTGATGAAGCGTGACTCTGGCCACATGTTGGACTCCAGTGCAACGCGTCTGGGTCTTATATTGATATTGATGTTAGATAAACTTAAGAGATATTTAGTAGCATACTATTATTATACAATCTATCTATTGTGATTGGTAAAGTGCCAATACATTTGGCTCAGGCTTGCGCAAAATGGTTGCCACGACACCATGATCGGTCAACCGACAGAATAGTGAGATCAGGATGTGTTCGAGTTATCCGCGACGCTAGAACTACGGCCGGATCTTGATATCCAATGAAAAACCAGCATCGAAAGAACAAATGCCTTTTGGCTCTATTTACTACTCTGGCTTTACCGCTTCTACGTCATACAGAATCCACGTAGTAACGTCAAAATGACAAGACAGAATGTGTCCCAAGCTGGACACTAAATTAATCACATATAAAACCGGTTTATAACAAATAGCTCATATACTCCAGTGTATATCCTTTGTATTAGGTGCTACTCTGTACCTTGCTGCCATCTCGCGATTGCTTTCTCGGAAAATTTAGTGTCCGGATGTGATTGACCAAGAATATGCTGGCGAAGACACACGCAGCTATGCATTAATTCAAGGGCTTCGTGAAGTCGACCAAGTCTCTGTAGAGTGAAAGCCAAATTATTCATGCTGGTCAGTGTATCGGGATGGTCCGCTCCAAGCTTCGCCTTGCGACTCTCCAACACCTGTACCTCAAGCGTCTCTGCCTCTTTCAATCGGCCTTGCTTCGTATATGTTGCCGCTAAGTTGCCTTTGCCGGCCAGTGTTAGAGGATGTGTTGCTCCAAGCTTCGTCGTGCGAGCCTCCATCACCTGCACCTCAAGCCTCTCCGCCTTCTCTAACCGGCCCTGGTGCCTATATATGGACGCCAGGTTATTCATATCGAACAGTGTGTCAGGATGATCCGCCCCAAGCTTAGTTATGCGAGCTTCGATCACCTGCAACTGGAGCCTCTCCGCCTCCTCCCATCGGCCCAGGTCACTATATGTTACCGCCAAGTTGGCCATGCTGGACAGCGTCTCGGGATGGTCCGCCCCAAGCTTCGCCGTGCGAGCCTCCGTCACCTGCACCTCAAGCCTCTCTGCCTCCTCCCATCGGCCCTGCTCACCATATGTTACCGCTAAGTTGATCATGCTGCTCAGCGTGTCGAGATGGTCCGCGCCTAGCTTCGTCTTGGAAGTCTCCATCAGCCGCACCTGAAGCTTTTCTGCCTTCACCCATCGGCCCTGAAACAGGTATGTCGACGCCAGGTTTCTCATGCTGCTCAGCGTGTCGAGATGGTCCACGCCTAGCTTCGTCTTGGAAGTCTCCATCACCCGCACCTGAAGCTTTTCTTCCTCCACCCATCGGCCCTGGCACCCGTAGGTGAACGCCAGGCGGTCCAGGCTGTTCAGTGTGTTATAATGATTAGGCCCTAGTAACTCCTCTCGAATCTCTGCTGATTGCCGGGCAAGATCCAGGGCCGTATTGTAGTCACCTTTCTCAATCATATACTGCGAAACATTCGTCAGCAAGAAGCCCCAATCGAGACCTTGGCTTTCGTCAGCCGGTCGCTTCTCCAGTAGTCTCTCAATGTGTGGTAGTAACAGCTGACATCGATTCCATGTTTCAAAGAGCCCGTTCGGGAAATGTTCCGCTGCTAAATGCAAAAATAACGTCCCCCAGCGTGCGACTTGGCCCAGTCCAGAGAGCCAAGCCCGCGTACAGATCTGGACCAAGGAATGCATCTCGTATAGATCTGGTTCTGAGGATGCCTTAACGAGCGAGTATGCGAACAGAACATCCAAGTCTTTCTCCAGTGTCTCATCGTCGCTTTCGTCATCTTCTGTTCTCTGCTCACACTCTGTATACCCGGATAACATGTAATGTGGAATGTTCTGCGGCTGAAAGCAACTCAAGAGCGAAAGCAAACTTGCTGCATCAGGGCTCTCTTGACGAATCTGGTTGAAAGTCACTTCCCATGTGATTGCAACCGAATTTGACACGCTTTCATGCCGTCGTATATCTCCACCATCATGTTTTAATAGGCCTATTCTCTTCTTGTCGCTTTCCTTGAAACGTTCCATGTATTCATGGATAGAGATACGACGGCGATTGATGTATGCAGCGGCCTGATTAACAGCAAGCGGAATATAATCCAAGCAGCGAATAAGATCTGTGGCTGTGGCTGTGTTGTAGCTAGAAGTGAGCTTCTCCTGTAAAAGAAGTAGTGCCTCGTCACTCTTCATCGCTGGAATTGATATAATGGCTTTATGGCCGCCTGTAAGCCTCTCAGCGACGTCCAGATTTCGCGACGTGATTAAGGTTTTTCCATTGTTGCTCTTTGGAAGGTATGATGCTATCGGAATATCTTCCGTTTGACTGAAAAACGTATCGAAGTTGTCAGCATTGTCGAGAATAAGTAGCCACGGGGCTACATCATCTCTCTGTAACCAGTCACAGACAAGCGCTAGAATATTGGTCTTTGGATCGTGCCGACGAGGGAGGGCGAGGTTGTCGGCAAGAGATCGATAGGATTGCTCGAGTGTCGCCCGTGAGGCCCCGTGGATCCAGAAGACACTCTTTTCGGGACTGGAGTCATGGACATTGTACGCAATTTCGATGGCAATCTGGGATTTCCTTCTTGCTGTTAGCCTCGAAGTGGTAGCAGTCGAAAGAGCGTGCTACCCAAAGCCTCCCATGCCAAACAGCGCTTGTCGGCTCGACTTGCCTGCGAGTTGCTCGTGAATCTGTGTCTGAATGGCGGGTCGTGGAACAAAATCTGGATCCCGAGGGAAAGGTACAAAAAAACGAGGCTGTCGAGCTGTAGACACATCTTCACTCATTGCAGAGACGCCGTCGACACCACTTTTGATATGAAGAAGCAAAGTGCTATAGTGCGTCAGCCTGTCATTGTCAAGCGTACGTTGGAAATTATACTTACGTTTGATCTATCAGTAGCCCGTCCATGATTCTGCGATGACAGTGCTCAAGGGTAGACACCATGGAATCTATTTCATCACGGCTGAATGGCCACTTGAGGGCTCGGGTCCAAAGCCGGTGTTTGGTCTGACGAGCGACGCCCCCATCGAGCTTGTCGTGCAGCTTCTGAAGTGTAGAATGACATGCCGTGAGCTGCTCTTGCAGATTCTGCGACGTAGACAGCGATGCACCTTGCGGTGCTTTGATGAGAGCTTCGGCGTGGTCCAGCGTCGTCTTCAAGCCCTTTAGCAGCTTTTCGAGGCGGGATATATCGGCAGAGGCATTTGCGACTGCTTTGGAGTACTGTGAACATAGAGTAATGACCTTCACTGACACATCAACAACGGCAATAACGCTCGCCGCAACACTCAGACCATCCATCGAGGCAGGTAGGTGCTGTGCACTTGCGAGTGGCTTTGGGCAACGATCGTGGGCGTCCACGCCTTGCCTGATGAGCGCGGGGAAGGTGGCTGTGTTGAGATGCATGATAGATGCCACATGATTGGCCTAGCATTCGAGACTCTGCTGCAAGGGTGGCAAGCGCTGAGTACTTTGGGAGTTGAAATGAGCGCCCATGATCTCGGGCCGATGAATCGGGGCCTTGCTTCAAGGTCGTGGCTCATACATAGGGTTTGAATAGATTGACCAATCAACAGAGTCGTCAATACAAGAGGGTAAGAAAGTCATCAATTGACGCCATGGTCTCTTTGACCCAGGGCACAAGGCTTTTCGCCCAGCCCGTATCTAAAGTCAACGATACAATCCCAAAATATTGATTCACTCATCATGATACATCAATTCTTGTAAGAGGCCCATTTTACAACTCCCTGAGCGCGACGTAGCACTGCCGGGGCTTATTGGTGAGTACCTGCACCGCGTCGTACCCCGATAACGCCACGGGGCATGACAGCAGCTCAAACTGCCACACTAGCAGCGTGAGCAGCTGCTTAAACTGCACATATACCATGCGACGGCCAAAGCAGCCCCTCTGGCCGAGGCCAAACGGAATTGACGGGTACGCCGCGGGATCAAATTCGTCCGCGCCCGTCACGGGGTGCTGCACGAGCCACCGTCGGGGGTCAAAAACGTTCATGCCGTCTTCGTCGCGTATGCGGTAGTAGCCCGCGTCCGCATGCTCGACCAGCGCCTTTTGCGAGGTGCTGCTGCGCAGCGACTCGGCAATGGGCAGATTCGGCGATGTGTATCCGGGTCCCTTATTGACGACCACGATGGTGGTGCCGCGCGGGATGGCGTGCCCGAGAACCACGGTGTCGGCAGTGGCCTGCCGGTCCGTCATGGCCGTGGCATGGGCCAGACGCAGCATCTCTTCGATGAAGGCGAGGAGAAACGGCACGTCGTGGTCGGTGATTTCGTTGTGCGTGGGGAACCGGTCCTCGGCGACAGCGGCGGGGTGCGCGGCTCGAAGTTGCGTCCGGAGAGCGGCCTGGTGCTCCGGGTGGTCGGCCATGAACTTGACGCCCCACGCGAGAACGTTGGAGGTGGTCTCGTGGCCGCCAGTGATGAAGCCAAACATCTATTCACTGTGTAAGCAGGAACTGGCGTGTTGTAGCCGCATGATATGTGACATGGGGGCGGACTCACCTCATCCTTGATAGCGTCGGACCAATAGTCGGGCGCGCGGTTTTGCTTTTGGGCCAGCGCTCGCTCGCGATGAAGAACAAGGTCCAGTGCGCACTTGAGCTTGGAGTAGCCAGCGTCTGGCATGTCGGCGTCGTCGTCGTCGTCGTCGTCGTCGTCGAACTGCCGGACAATCTTGTCGACCTGCCCTTTGATGAACTGGTCCTTGATCGCGCGCAGCCGGCGCACACGCGGGAACCACGACAACACGCGCCAGGCAATGTCGGGAAAGCCCGTGGCAGCGACGGTTGGAATATTCTCCGTGGTGCGCAATAGGGCGTCCATGGCCGGGGTTAGCGGCGCGCGGGGAAAGTCGACGGGCTCTCCCGGGGCCGCGGCGTTGCGCAAGTTGTTGCGCGCTTCCTCGTGGAGGCTCCGGTATAGCTTTACCTGCTCCGCCAGCGCGCGGTCCTCGGTGCCGTCGCCATAGCCGAAATCGTAGATGGCGTCGAGGGTGGCGTAACTCAAGTCATGGTTCGCCGCAAAGGGCCGTCCTGTGCCGGCGATACTGCACTTTATACGCCAGAGTTCCAGCAGACGGCAGGCGCCGGCATACATGTTGGGAGCGGCGACACCGTGGAGAAAGGTCGGCGACATGACGTCTTGAAGAAGGCGACGGTGCGCAGCCCAGACGGGTCCCGTCTTGAGGCAGGCGTGGAAGTTGGGCATCTCGCCGCGCAGCAGGGCGATGGCGAGGTCGGAGCGGTCAAACTCGTGGCCGCGCCGGACGAGGATGTCCTGGGCCTCGCGGAAGTCGGAGACGACAACAAAGGGCCGCGCAAAGGGCACGAGGAACACCTGGTAGACTGAGCTTCGGTGGCGGTCGCTCTGGCGCACGACCCATTCGCTAATGTTCTCTGGGGATTCGCGCTGGATGGCCATGACGTCGCCGAGAAGAGAGCGCGCAGCCTCGGCATTGTAGGGGATGCCGGGAAGCGGTCGGGGAAGAAGCCATTGCCGGATTGTGTAGAGAGTGGTGGTGATGAAGAGAAAGACGAGGATCAGGGTCTGGCAGGTGACGGCGGAGGGGAGCAGGCTGGCGATGTGGAGAGACATGGCTGCCGACGGTCAAACGGGTGGTGTAGCACTGTGGCGGTATCGTCCAGAATGCCAATCTTTGGTGGCGATTACGACTAGAGGGCCATTGCACGAGATTTGAGAAGAAGGAAAAGAAGTACGACGAGGTAATTACGGTGGTGAGGATACAGCTGATGTGGAAAATTGGCATCATATGGCTACGACGTCCGAGAGTCCCGTCAGAGCAAACACTGTCCACAAGATTGGCTGGTATGGCATCATGGCGGGAAGACTGTGGGGGCAAGCCATGCTAGTTTGTCGTTTGATGCCAACTAGATGATGCTAGCTAAGCTCCGATACCCCAGTTGATGATGGATGCAACGAATCAGATTATCCTGGTCAAAAGGGGGATGCGCGAAGCCGCGAGTTTGCTGAGGCATGACATCTAGCGGAGGGTCTTGTCAAGGGTTTATTTGTTTGCTAGGCCTGGGCGTATTGGGGAGCTTGGAATTGCTTGCTGACCTTTACTTGTGTAAATCTTATTTTTGGACCCAAGAGATAGAAGTGCGGGATTAGAGTTGTCGGTGCCATTTGCGTGGCTGAATCATAGCATTTCCCGAATGGGTGGCCAGCAGCGAGTCTCATTGGCGGAAGCAGAACCGGCAGTTGGCTTGAATGTCTGAAGTGTTGAATGTCTAATCCGTAGAATGTCGAGAGGCGGTTGTCGATCATTGGCAAGTCTTTTGTTGGTCCAATTAGCTGTCAGGTGTTTATTTTCTCGATATTGATCTTGCAATGGAATTGGAGAGGCTATGCAGAGTTGACTGATGTTTCGAGGTATATCCTTATCATGATGGCGAGTTTCAGGGACAAGATGGCTTTTCTTAGCGGGCCATGGCGCTATCAGCACTGCGATAACTGTTTCGGCGATGCACTGTAATGGACTGCAGACTTACACATTCACGCACTGTATTGCACTGTATACCTACAGCGGCCCAACAACTGGCCGGTATTTCCTAAATACAGAATGCGGCCAGCTCCATGTACCGGCCAGCTTGCAGCGTCATGGATTATACGGCGTAGTAATGAAAGGTATACCGGAGAACAGAAAAGAACAATGTACAAAACGCCGCGTTTGAAACCGATAGCATTCCTACTTCAAAAAGATCATTTTCGCATGACAGCCCTGGTGAATTGATAAATTACAATAATTACAATCTGCCAGATTGCTGCTGGCCAGATCTGCTTAGCTCAGCACTCAAGCTGTTACTCAAGTACCCAAGTACCTGCAGTCGCTGCCACGCGTGCCTCTGTCGCCTAAACGCTCCCACAAGGTACCTGCGCGACTCATCCCGTTGGCCCGTGCTCCCCTTCTCTTGTGACCCAGCTCGAACATTCTCTACCTAGCTCACCAACAACGCCGCCATCAATCGTCTCCTGTGCCATCATCCCAAACCCTCACCCACGGCCTCTGCGACACGTCTCACGCTCTCTGCGACTCCAATTGCGCAGTTGCATCCTTTTCCGCGCCTCATCTGCTATCTAACTGCTTCGCGCCCGTTGATAGCAGCACGCCCGTTTTTTCGCCACAGGGTCATCCGCTGCCCAGACCACCCACGCTGACGCTACCTTGCGAGCCTAAATCTCGTAAGCGCGCCCGCCTTGCTCGCATCACGAGCCTTCTTTTGCCATTGCCTCCATCACCAAAATCGCTACCCATCCTGTCCGTCTTTGCCGCGTTCCGCACTATTAGGCACTCTGCGCCCTCTTTTCACTGATCCGAGCCTCCGAGCGCCATGCCTAGCAAGACGCCTCAGCGCAACGGCAAGCCCACCCAAAACGGCGACCGCAAAGATACCGAGATGAAGGACGCCGGCAAGTCCAAGGCCAAAAAGGGTGCCAAGGACGGCGACGAAGAGATGACTGTTGTTGTGCCCCCATCCAAGGCCAAAAAGGGTCCTGCTGCCCGCCCTGCCGACGCCGATGGCGATGTCGCCATGGGCGATCAGGATATTGCTGAGCAGGTTGACCCCACGGAGCAGACTGTCACAGGTAAGCTATTGCTCATCATCGCAACCCCCCGCGCGTCGTCATTCACGTTCTAAACTGACTCTTGCTCTTAACCACAGACATCAAGAGCAATTTTGCTCTACTAGACCGCGCCGTCGCCCTCTTCGATGCCAGATTCTCCCTCCGAGCCCTTCGATCCATCTCTCTGCTACGAAAACGTTTGAGTCCCGATGTCATTTCCCAGGCCATTGTCGATACCTTTCCAGCTACCGTCACCGCTGGAAACGTCGCCAAATCCCTCCTTGTTGCCGTTGGCCGCGAAAGTATCCCTCTCAAGGCCCTCAGTGAGATGGACATCGACTCCGACTCCAAGCCCGCCAAGAATGGCGTCAAGAAGGAGACTAAAGATGTCATTCCCGAAATCGACGTCTTCCTCGGTATCCTCATCCAGGTTTACCTCTTTGACACCAAGCAGTATCAGAAGGGTGCTGCATTCTCCGAGGAGCTCGTGGAGCGTGTGCAGTCTCTTAACCGCCGCACTCTCGACTCGCTCTCTTCCAAGGTCTACTTTTACTACTCGATCTTCTGCGAACACATTGCCCCCCTGCCACCCTCGCCAGAGTCGCCCGTCGTCGCCATTCGCCCGAAATTGCTCTCGGCCCTCCGCACAGCTGTTCTACGCAAGGACATTGACACGCAGGCCTCCGTCATTGTGCTGCTATTGAGGAACTATCTCTCAACCTCTCACATCAACCAGGCCGATCTGCTAGTATCGCACACCCAGTTTCCCGAAAATGCCGTCAACAATCAGGTTGCCCGTTTTCTGTACTACCTCGGTCGCATTCGCGCCATCCAGCTGCGATACACCGAAGCCCATGAGCACCTCACCGCTGCCACACGTAAGGCGCCATCCAGCAACTGTGCCGTTGGCTTTTCGCAGACCGCTACCAAGCTGCTTATGGTGGTTGAGCTGCTCATGGGAGATATTCCTGACCGCGCCACTTTCCGCCAACCTGCCCTCGAGGATGCCCTGCACCCCTACTTCCTCCTGGTCCAAGCCGTCCGCGTTGGTAACCTTGAGGAGTTTGAGATCGCTATTGCCGACCACGCCGAAGCCTTTCGCCGCGACGGAACATACTCTCTCATTCTGCGCCTGAGACAAAATGTCATCAAGACTGGTATTCGCATGATGTCGTTATCCTACTCGCGCATCTCCCTGCGTGACATTTGCATTCGCCTGCATCTGGGAAGCGAAGAGAGTGCAGAGTACATTGTCGCCAAGGCTATCCGCGACGGCGTCATCGAGGCCACTCTCGATCGCGAGCACGGTTTTATGAAGAGCAAGGAGGTTGGTGACGTGTACGCTACCAGAGAGCCTGGCGAGGCATTCCATGACCGTATTCGGGCATGCCTTGCCCTCCACGACGAAAGTGTCAAGGTAAGATGACGTGGTCACTTAAATCGCTCGTTATGTCTAACGAATCTCTAGGCCATGCAATTCCCCATGAACCAGCACCGTCTGGAGCTGAAGAACGCGCAAGAAGCTCGGGAGCGGGAGCGCGAAATGGCCAAGGAGATACAAGAGGGTGACTTGGATGACGACGACTTAGGCGGCGACTTTGACGGAATGTAGTGATGACTTTATTTCATCACTTGTTTTAATACAGCCGTCTGGGTCGGATTTGGTAATCGAGCTGGGCACTTTCTACATGCGTTTTGATTCCCGTACATGCAGTGATGAGTGTGGGGGAGATGGAAGGCAATGGATGAGCCGCGGAATATCTTTGCACTTGTACTACATATTGGAACGATACGGCTAGAGTTGGGGCGAAAGAGCGGCAGGAGCAGAATACAAGTTGTCAATTTAGATATTTGTGCATAGCTGCCATGCGCTATCCGTACACAGCATTTGAATCGATCGGATTGAGATGGAGTCGTAGCTTCCTGATCCCACGACAAACACCAGCACGTGACGCGCCATAGTCATGAGGGAACCACGAGAAGACGACGCGGCCTCAAGCCGCATTGCGCCATGTGCATCCATCTCAAATCCTCCATTCGAAGGTCGTCACGGAACAACATATTGACTTGCAATCGTTCCACTGTGCACACCTGAGGCTCGTCACTCACACGGTGTTTTGCAGAGGCGGCCAATCTCCACCACACCTAGGGTCTGCCTGATCCCAGTAACAAGCTACAGCGCCTACTCGTCGTATTACCGTAAGATACGTTCGCCCGCCCGTCCGTCGGCTACCCTCCACCGCCCACCCGTTTTGGTCATCCGTCATCAACAAACTCTTGATTTTGCCCAGTGGGCTGGCGAATCAGAAAGAAACAAAAAAAAAGGTACAGCCCACCCTTGCGCTTCCCCTCGGTCGCTCTTCTTCTGCGAGGCTGTAAGAATATGCCTCCAAAGCGAAGACGACCAGGAGAAGTAGCGCAGGCAACGCAGCCACCGACAATCGACCCCCGAGTGCCCTCACCAGCTGTGACGCGTGCTGCCACGCGCCAGACGCCCATCTACCCGCCGCCGATACCGATTTCCAGTCCGCCCAAGACGGCTGCCGCCGCCACCGCATCCTCTGTCGCGACACCTGTGCCCCTTCCAATTGTTCCTGGCCAGGCACCCTCGCCGCCCAAGCTTGGCGGTGTGTGGCCCAGGTCCGCGCGCGCCACTCGAGTGCGGCCGCCGCCCGTCTCGTCGGCGCCTGCACCAGCGCAGCGTGACTTGTCACCGCTTCCCAACAACAGCACACGTGCGATGGGTGACACGGGAAAGGAGAATGTTCGTGCCACGGGCTTCATCGCACCGGAAACTACCTACCACATTGCATTTCCGCATCAACAGAGCAGAGTGCCAACATCATCATCTGCCAATCATCACGGCTATCTCGCCACGGCGCCTCGAATAGAAATGGCCTCGAATCCTTCGACCGTTACTCCTGTGCTGCCTCCGAAACCACCGATGCTCGCCGGCAAACCACCGCAGAGCTCCGATCGCAATATTGACAAAGTAGTTTTTGGTAATCTCTGCTTCAAAACATGGTATCCGAGCTACTATGGAAAGGAGGTCTTGGGTGATATCTCTGCGAATTCGAGAAATGGCACTAAAGACCACGGCATCGAAGCTGGCAAGGCACATGGAAAAAAGGATCGTGAGCATCCCCCAATGCTTGAGCGACTGTACGTTTGTCCAAGTTGCTTCAAGTACGCCAAAGAACTCGTGGCTTGGTGGGGTCATGTACGATCCTGCGGGCTCAAAGGCCGTGTCCCCGGCAAGCGGGTCTACGTTCACCCCCGAGGTCGGCGCAAGATCCGTGTAGCGCACGACGGAAAAGGCCCCGGTCCCAAGAAGCGTCGGGGTGACGGCGGAGTGCGTTACACGGAACAAATAGTGCAGGATGAAGGCGAATGGAGTATCTGGGAGGTCGACGGAGAGATTGATAGAGTGAGTGCTCGCCCATTACCAAACGTGCTTTGACATGAAGCTAACTATTGCAGTTGTTTTGTCAAAATTTGTCACTCTTTGCCAAGCTATTCCTCGACAACAAGTCGGTGTTCTTTGACGTGACAGGCTTCAACTACTTTTTGTTAGTGTACACGCCGCCCTTCAAGCCACCTGTCGGCAACGAAGCTCCCGAGGCCCCTGTCCCTCAAGTCACGGGCTTCTTCTCCAAAGAAAAAATGTCGTGGGACAACAATAACCTGGCATGCATCCTTGTATTTCCACCATGGCAGCGAAAAGGCCTGGGGGCACTTCTCATTGGTGTCTCGTACGAGATATCGCGACGAGAAGGTATTCTCGGTGGACCAGAGAAGCCCATTTCCGATCTCGGCAAAAAGGGCTACAAGAGATTTTGGTCCGGTGAGATTGCGCGCTGGCTGCTGAGCCTCGACGTGCCCCAGATCCCGCCGCCCGGCATGGAGCTCATGGTTGACGTCAATGACTGCAGCGACGCCACCTGGATCACGCCCGAAGACTGTCTTGGCGTCCTCCGCGACATGGACGTCCTTGAAGATGCGGGCGTCGGCCCCGGCAAGCCCGTCAAGCGCCAAGACACGCACGACGCAGAGAGCGACGCCGATGAAGTGGACGGCGCGGACAAGAAGCACGCTACGCCGACATCACCTGCGCAAATGCAGCTCGGCAAGCCGGTCCCGCGCGTGCGCATCGACAAGGAGCGCATTCGGCGGTACGTTGTGCAGAACCGCATCGACCTGGAAAGAACGTGCGAACCGACAGGCTTTGCAGAGAGCTATGCGCGGAAGACGGGGAGCGAGATGGTGGAGTAAGCTGTAGTTTCGCAAGAGTCATTTTCGACGTGGCGGATATTTGTACGATTTGATTTGGCGTTGGGTGGTTACATTTTGATACCCTGGATCTTTCATTCTCATGGAGTTTGTACATGGAGCTGCATTTACACACATTTGTAAAGGATAATGAGACATGAAAACAATTTGTATTAAGACAAAGAGTTGCTCTTCTTCTATTGTAATATACCAATGTGTCTATATATGCTACATGTCGTAAAATCTTGGGCAACGTTTCATTCATGGCGTATCGTCAGTTTTGCAGGCCGTGGTCGCGGCGCCTCTACAATGACTTGCTCGGTCAGCCCGCCATCCGTTGCTGGACTCTGCGGCACGGCGAGCTTACGCGGTGTCGCCGGCGTAGGCTGCCATCTCGCCGACGAGCATGTGCTCATGGCGTCATCGCCGGCATTGTCTTGCCGATGGTTGAGGACATTGTCGATGCGCAGCCGGGGCGGGCCGGAATTGAGGCCCTCGCCGTTTTTGGGAGGTCCGGCTGAGACGAGACGGAATTAGCTTCTAGAACTCCCTGCGGCGGCATTCTTTGACACTTTGAGAGAATGGAATGGATGGACGGGCTTACATAGAATCAGGGAAAAGAGCTTGACAATGACGGGGCCCCAGACCGTCATGGCAATGATTTGGCCGTAGGACCAGCGGTTCGCGCGGAAGCTGTCGTCGCTGATGACCTTGCTGAGGGAGATGAGATATAAGACGTTGATGACGAGGTAGGCAAATTCGAGACCGTGCCAGAACCAAGCGGACCAACGCAGCCAGTGGCGCTTGAGCGGCCCGTCGGGCCAGCGGCCGAGCCCGTGGGCCCCAATGGACCAGTGACGGGTGCGGCGGTGCGTGCGCAGCGTCCACGCGAGCTGGTCGACGCCGAGGGCGACAATGGCGACAGTGTCAAGCACGAGGAAGACAAGCTTGTAGACGAGCGGGTGCGGGAAGAAGGTGAGGGTGAGGCCGTCGACGCCGGCGCTCGAGGCGCAGTAGGTGCGGGGGCTGGGGTTGCCGCCGCAGGCGGCGACGGCGCGCTGGCCGCGGAAGAGGTCGAGGGCACCGGCAAAGGAGATGCTCTGGGTGGTGGCGACGACGGCGAGAAGGTACTCGGTGCAGAAGCCGAGAAAGGTGTGCCAGTTGCGGATGCCCTCGTTGTGGAGGCAGACCTGGATGAGGAACATGGGTAGGATGCCGTTTTGGGAGACGTGAAAGGCGACGGCGCCGTTGACGACGATCTCGCCCCAAAAGGAGCCCTCTTGCGAGTTGACGACAATGGCGAGGATCGAAGCGATTTGCACGGCAAAGATGAACCAGCACTGGGCTTCTTGGAACTCGACGAGCGTGGTGGCGATGGCGATGCTGGTCCGGGACAGCGCCGACGAGTCCTTCCACAACATCGACTCGATGCGCGTGAGTCGCCGGACAATGCGCTCCGAGGCTGGCCGCTTGGCGGGCTTCTGGGAATAGCTGACCCAAAAGGTGAAGATTCGGAGAAAGATGTAGAGGGAGCCGGCAAAGACGACTTGCAAAACGTAAGATATGAGGACCTAGGTTGTCGTGTAAGAATAATACTCTGGTGCCTGCCAAGAAACGTGTGGGTGTGGGACTTACACCAGGACCAAAGATGTCGGGATTGATCTCGGCGCGCAGCTCGGGGCAAAAGATGTCCATGGCCGCAAAGATGTCGTCGGTGGACGAGTTTCGCGACAAGTACGTAATGGAGGCGTCGCACGGCTCGGAGAGCTGATCCTCGATGCACGACTCGACGGCACACGCGGCAAAGGATTCCACCACCGGCCGGCCCTGAAACGAGGCCAGCGAGCCGTTGCCCATAAGAGCGCTGGCGTTGCGCTCGGCTTCGGCGTCGACGTAGTAGGTACCAACCTCGCGTGTCCAGTATGCAATAGATGCGAGGGCCGCGCAGTTGTAAAACGTCTCAAATGAACCAAAGAAGAGCGCTGTGTCGTTGCACGCCGTCGGGCAATCAAGCGGGGCGCCGCGGCCGCGGCCGATGCGGCATCCCGAGAGGTAGAGGTCGACCTGCGGCCCGCCGTCGATGCCATCCTGGATGAGGTCGCGAAAGGTCAAGTCGTCCTTGGTGTAGCCGCCGACCTTGGCGAGGTCGTGAAAGGGAAAAAAATCGGACGTCCCGTCAAAGCCCGGGCGCACAAGAACAGTGAGCGGCGACGGGGTGGGTGAGACGACAGAGACAGAGGAGACGGCCGTGGTGGTGCGCGAAAAGGACGGCGCAAAGGTCGTCGTCATGACGCTTTCTTGTCCGGGGATTGACGCGAATAGAAGAGGTCCGAGATTAGAGATAGTACCGCTGCTGCTGCCGCGCTTGGTTGCCAGTCCGAAACCGCCGAGTTGGCCACACGTGCTGCATTTCCAAGACCAGCCACGTTTGAAAAAGCGATCAAGTCTGATATTCGCAAAGACACCACCGAGATGAAGCCTGGCCAGCCAGCAATTCTGTCACTAGCGCAGCTCTGGACGCGGTAAGATGTATGATAGAATTTTCTGCACCCGCTCAGCGTGCTAAAGAGGTGAGGCTGGATAGCGTGATAGGGGATCATCCATTGATAATGTGCTGTTGCGGAGCCGCCCCAGGCGGTCCGTTAGTTCGAGCGCCCGACGGGACTTGGCATCATCATAGGTGGCTGGCATGGTCGGAATTCTCGGTTCGGCCGCTGATCCAAGTGTCGTGTGCAATGTCCAGCCACTGCACTATTTTAGAGATGGGAATGAAGACGTAGGTAGAGTTGACGATGTTGAGGGTATCGCAATATTGAAGTGTGTAAGTCGTGTCTGGTGCATTTGCAAACAAGCTTTTGACGAGGCGCAAGCCGGGCCGGGCCCCGGTTTATCGAAAATTTGGGTAGACGCCGGCATGTGCATGCAGCTTGGTGTCAGCTGCCAAACAGTGGGGTGCTAGGCTGCCGAACAGTGGGGTGCCAGCTGGCAGCATAATGTTGTGACGTGAGCAAACGGACTGTGCTTTTTTATTTGAATTCTGAGTATTGCGATAGATTCGGTATTAGGCAAGAATGTTCTCGTGATGAAAACACTGCTATGGAGTGCATCTTTCCCAGATCGGCCCCAGTGTTGCAGGTGACTGACACGGCCGCAATGAAACTACACAGCGACAGCGACAAAATTAAATCAGAGAGTACCATCATAAAAACAAGCAATAATTTAATTTGATAAACGCAGGAATTTGCATGGATCTCGATATCTCTATCAAAATGCATGACTCGGTTCAGCACCCCTCCGCCAAACCACCACTTACTTACCACCACCGCAATTAGCCCGACGTAAGCCGACCCCAGGACGTCATCCCGGCCGAAGCTAGCTCTTCTCACAGCAGCCAGCTCCCATTCTTCATCACACACACACACGTACTAATCCTCTTCTTCCCTCTCCCATCTCAATTGAATTGAATTGATTATACGCAAAAGGGTGGGCCACTTTCAAAGGCCTCCTACTTGATCCGCCTTTTGACCAATCCCCGCCGGCCGCACCTCTCCCCCCCCCCCTCCACACAAGGATGGCCCCCCGACTCCCCCGCGCCGTCACCTCCACGGCCACCACCTACCTACTCGTCCGTCCCTCCGTCGGCGCCGGCGCCAGCCGCCACGCCTCGCTGCGCCTCTACTCGGCCCAGACGGAACCCCTCATCCGCGTCGCCAACGTCCCCGCCGGCGCCACCGGCCACATCCGCGTCCTCGAGCTGAACCGCGCCTCCGCCCGCAACGCCATCTCCAAGGGCCTCCTCGCCGCCCTGCGCGCCGAAGTCGACGCCATTCACGCGCAGTACGGCCCCGGCGGCGAGGAGCTGTCCGTCGCAAGCACGGCTCAAGGCGGCCCGACCCGCGCGCTCGTTATTGCCAGCGCCGTCGACTCGTGCTTTTGCGCCGGCGCTGACCTCAAGGAGCGGCGCGGCTTCACCCAAGAAGAGTAATAATGCATTGCACCCAATGACTTTCTCTACATCCCGGATCATGCATCAAGGCTAATCACTTCGGTCGTCTATAGAACCAACGAGTTTCTCACCAACCTCCGCGCCACGTTCACCTCCCTCGCCGACCTCCCCATCCCCACCATCTCCGCCATCTCTTCCATCGCCCTCGGCGGCGGCCTCGAGCTCGCACTTTCGACGCACTTTCGCGTACTCTCCTCCAACGCCACCGTCGGCCTGCCCGAGACGCGCCTCGGCATCATCCCCGGCGCCGGCGGCACCCACCGCCTGACGGGCCTTGTCGGCCTCAGCCGCGCCCGTGACCTCATCTTGACCGGCCGCCGCGTCGCCGCCCCCGAAGCCTACTTTCTCGGCATCGCCGACCGTCTCGTAGAAGTCGTTCCCGAGGACGAGCGCGATGGCGCAGACATCTTGCCTGCCGCCCGCAAGAGCGCTCTCAGCGAGGCCGTCCGCCTCGCGCAGGAGATCTGTGAGGGCGGACCCATTGCCATCCGCGCTGCCCTGCAGGCTGTGGCCTGGGCGCGGCCCGATAAGGAGAATGAAATGTACGAGCGTGTCGTGGCTACCGAGGACCGTAACGAGGCTCTGAAGGCTTTCAAGGAGAAGCGCAAGCCTGTCTTCAAGGGACGGTAGATAGGGAGAAAATGAACGTGTAATATTGAAAAGGCTACAAAACAAACAAAGACGCATGTAATAAATGCCGTATTTCGCCATCAAAGTCTGGATGCGTAAGAATTGCAAGTAATTCAAGGAATGCCGCTCAAAGCATGAATCATGGCACCCATCTATTGTACAATGAAGTCATTTTTTGAGTCTTGTCAAGCTCCCAGCTACTTATCGTAGGAAAGTTTGATGCCGACTGAGTGAAATGCAAAGTTAAAAAAATCGCGATGCAGAGGGGAAAAGTGATGCAAAGAAAAGAAGAAAAAAATTCGGTTCTTAATGCGCAGGCTCGGTTGTCGGTGCTGCTTCCTCAGGGACTGTATCGTCCACAAGCTTTTCAGTCTGGGCCGCGGCGGGCTCCGTGGACTCACCCGCAGCCGGCGTGATACTCCCCGCCGATGTCGCCTCTGCCTCGGGCACACAATCTGGCGAAAGCTCTGGCACAAGCTCCGGCACTGGCTCAGGCTCCGGCTCCGGCTCCGGCTGAGGGGGCTGCTCGCGCTTCGGAACGTTGACGTACTTGTCCTTGTCCGCGTCACGTACATAGCACAAATAGTAGGGCTCGCCGCTGGTGCTAAGAGTACGTAGAACCTCCTCAGTCTTCTTGTTCTCCTTGACATCGGCGTCGTTGTACCATCGCCACACATCATCCTCAAAGTCGCGAATCCATACCCAATAGTGGCCAGACATGAGCTGACCACGGTGACAGATGACAGCGTGGAGTCGGTAGGGGATCTCTCTCATTTCCTCATGGTGTGCTGCAATCGTACTTTCACAACGAGCCAGCTCGTCTTCCATCATCTGCGTGACCTGGCGGTAAGTTTCGTACACACCCGTGACCTTGGGAATGGGAGCCTCCACCTGTTCATGGGCGGCGGACTTGGGAGGAGAAATGAGCAAAAAGTCATTTTCTACAGGGCCATCAAAATCAAAGGTTTCTACCTCTGTCGGAGCATCGTCTTCGTTTTCAGGCTGGCCGAGAGCCACAGGCTTGACCGCTGAGTAATGCTCAAGCGCTCTCAAGTAGGAGGGGTTAGCTTCCAGCTTCGCCTGGTCTGCCTTGATATCAGCAACACGCTTTGCCATGATCCAGTCCTCAACGCGTCGCTGGAAAGCTGGCGAATCATGATCGGTATCCATGAATCGGTCCAGCCACAGAGTCTCGGGGATGATGACAGGATTGCCGTTTTTGCTACCGTTTGACTGTGTGCGCTGAATCAGCACATGCAGAATAGGCGGTAACGTTCTAATAGTGGTGTATCGAGACAATTTGCTTTCTTCCAAAATCTGCTGGTCAAAGTTCTTGCCGAGTGCATCGTACAGCGTACATGGCCCATTCTCGGCTGGAAAAGCTGTGATAGACCTATCAAAGCTGACCTCGTGCTGATACTTTGTCTCGTCGAACTTTTTGGTATAATTGACTGTCGTGACGAAAAAAGTCTCCATCAAACTTTCAAGCTGGATGCCAGTTTTATCGTCGACGGAGCTGGGCCGAATAGCAGCTTGCAAGCGATTGATGATACTGCCCATCACCTCCTCGACATCCTGTTGATCTGTGCCTGAAGATCGCTTCTGGTGTTCAAGTGCGCCGAGTACCTTGTGATCAATGGTCCCAGAAGCGTCTGGATCAACCATCTCGACATCAGTGGTGATTCTATCCAGTGCAGGCGGTGGCTTCTGGACTTGCGTGATTTCGCTTGGTTTCGTAGGTAGTGTAGCACCATCCACCATGACTGCATCCTCTCCGCTGCTCGTATTCGCTGCGGGTGGTATTGTGTGACCATTTGGCCCTGAAATCTCTTCGACACACCCGTCTGAAGGACCACAGCTTGCTTCTTCGTGCTCAACTAGTGTCTTGGTACTAGATAGACTAGCTGTATCCAGCGGCGCCGTACGTTGATTATCCAAGTTGAGCATGTCGACGTCGCTTGAGCCTTCTCCGGATAAAGCAATGGGCTCTGGAGGGGGTCTCGACGGGAGTGGTGGAGGCAGGGGACTACTTTGTCGATCATTCGTCTTCTCACTGTTCAGCAATGTGTGTGTCGATAACAAAACAGCGTTAGCTAGACGCTGAGATGGCCTGGTTGCCGTCTTTTCCGACCTTTGCAAAGTTTCAAAGAGAGCAGCTAGTTCCTGGGCGACTGTGTGTTGTTAGAACTTGCCAATATCGAATTGCATGTGTACTTACAAGCATCTGCGACGACAGCTTCCCCTCTGTCCATTTGCATCTTGTTCCCGCCGATGCGACGATTTTCGATGGCGTCTTCGGACAGTCCGAGTTTGATGTCGTCATAGTTGAAAACAACGTCTCGTACAGGCTTTACCGTAAAAAGATATTGCAGCAAACTGTTGAGGTAGCATGTGTTTCCAATATTGTCAAGACCAACAGGCAGCGACAAGTCAACAGGAGCACCAGAGCCGGCACTGCACACTGTAGTACTTGTATTACTGTCATGGAGCAGTTCTAGGGCTGCCTGCTTCAGAGACAGTGACCCGGTATGTTCAGCGATTGAGTCGAGGGCGTCCAAATAGAGCTTCTTCTCGTCTGCTTTTTTGCATTGTTGAAGCTTGCAGCGAGTGGCGGGAACAGCGTCGGAGATGATATTTGATGTGTCATTAAGGCCGATGACGTACTTGGCAGTCTCAAGAGACATTTTTTGATCGGCTTCCATAAGCAGATCTGCCTGATAATGATCATCTTGGGACTCCGAGGCAATCATCATGAGCAGGGCCCTGGTTGTACCGGCTTCGGCAGGGTCATCGGCCAATTTCTTTCGAAAAGCCCGGATGATGGCTTCAGCGGGGTAGTTGTTTGGCGGGGCAAGACCAAAATATGACATTGACTGCGAAACAGTTCCGCCATCATCGGTGACGGCTTGCTGGCGTGGCTGACTCTCGTAAACGGATGATTGCGTCACAGCGTACTCAATAAGAAGATCGTCTTGGGCGTCATTGGCGACATTCAGGAGAGCATCAATGAGCTCTTTCCGAGACGAAGGCAAAAGGTCCCATTGTCGCTTGTACGCATTGACAATGATTTCTCTGCCTTGTGTAGGCAACACACCTAAAAGCCTGTATCTATCTGTGCCAACCAATGCGTTGGATTCGACATCCTTGACCTCGGCACATTGAAGGACGCCATGCAGCATTGGAGTACAGAATGTGGGCTTTTCGACAGCTTGTCCCGCCTTGTGTATTAGGCACTGGACCTCTGCCCGGACGTCTTCAAGATAGGCTCGATACGTGTTCATCTCGGTGGTACCTGAAGGGCCGCCGGGGGGGGCGGCAGGTCGTGGCGTAAAAGATCCTTCGTCGATGCCGGAGCTGTCTTCTATCTTTTCCTCAAACTCTAGCTCTCTGAAGATGGAAAAGCATCGTGGCCCAAAGAGAACAGAGAAGCGCTTGTTACGCTTTGATATGCTTCGGACAGTTTCGGCAGTTGATTCCAACTGGTTTTTCAGATATGTATTAAGATTGAGTGGCGCCTGATAAGCCCATTCATCGGTGGCTCCCTCGTATCTGGCTGGATCCTGCTCTTTAGCAGCATCAAGCTGCTTTCGAATTGCTTCGTGGTCGAGAAGCAGCGTCACCCACTTACTGTGCATCCGGGGCTCGCTGATCTCCAACGTCATTTGGAAGGTGCAGGGTGCAGCGCTGCAGATAAAGTATTCTCTAGCCAGGATGGGGTTGTAACGGCAGTGGTCGCTGGCAATGTTTCCTGGCGATGCAGAGCCCGCCCATGCAAGATGATGCCATGGAAACATGTTATCTGGGAGCGGCCAAGCTGTCTGCGAATGGTGGCAAAGCGATGGAGTGTGTTCCTCATCCCAGGCCATCTTGAAGACGAAGTGGAAGTGGCAGTCTAGACATATTGAAGAAAGGACATGTTCTGAGCCGGTTGAGTAGCTTTGCTTGCCGTTGATGACGAGCTTATGGGGGTGGTCCCACGCGTATGGGCTATCAAATTCGGCGTTCTGGGCTCGGGCTCGGTCGAAGAGGTCGCAGACGGTGAAGCGGTTGTGAATGAGTTCGTAGATCCAGCGACTGGGGTGGCATCCTAAAATTGTCAGATGCTGGCTAGATTGCGAGTGCGCAGACATACCTGCCACCTCTTTCCTGGAAGCAAAGAATTTGGCCTTGATGGGCAGCGTGTTGTGTTGGACAAAGCCGGCGCCAGAGGTGCCTGGCAGCGCCGCATAGTAACTGCCTGCACCTCCATCTTCTGCTAAATCGAAATGAGCCATGGTTGCGCCTGGGCTATGATGCGGCCGCAGCAATGTGCGAAGGGCACCGAGGAGGCTCTCAGTCGTAGCGTAGCGTTGTTACGTTGTGGTCCAGCTTTGCTAAGGTATCGGTTATTGTAAAGCTTGCAAGTGTGAGCCGGCCACACTACAGTCTATGTCGTAAATATGATATCGAAGCCAGCCAAATGCTCCAGCGGAGAGGTTGTGAAAGAGCGAGGAAGAGCGCAAATGGGAAGCCGTGGTTTTGTAGCTTGGCTGCTAGCTGCGTGGCCGAGTGCGACCGAAGGAAACGTGCGAGGGACGGAGGCGCGGCATTTGTTGGAAACAGTCAGGCAGCTTTCGTACGCCACTGGATACAGAGCCGAATGTGTAGTTGAGCTGACGTAGCACTGCCGACACTCGGGATAGAATGTGCGAGATGCGAGGCGTAAGCCTTTGGTTGATCAGCGAAGCGCCGTAACGGCTTGGGGGGGCCGTTTTGGTTGCGTGGCGTGCGTGGCGTGTGGCGCTGCTCCCGCTTGCCGCTGGCCCTGTAGGGCAAGACGTGACGGCCGTCAAACGAAGACACGAAAGTCTCTCAAATTTGATTATACATGAGCTGGTGTGACATTAAATCAGCTCTAGGGATTCTGTGATTCACTTCTTTTCTTTCTCTTGCGCTGCGCGGAGCGGTGATGTAGCAGCCTCTTTTGACCCGACATAGCCACGAGGTTTCACAGTCGCTCGTCAATGGCAATGGCTAAATAGTAGTCAAGTGTTGAACAGAGAATGTATTGTAGTAGCAGCTGTTACTGCAGACTCTTACAACTAGTCTAGTTCAAGCTGCGTCAATGCAGCCCTTATGAGCACGCGGAGGCAAGCAAGCCATAAACAAGCGGCTTTCATCCATAGGTACATACATCTCTTCGTCTAGGAGACGGCTATACCAGTTCTTTCCATGAAACTCAAGCTTAAACTAGTATTCATCTGTATTAAAGCCTCTGCATTTACATGATAGTGTAGGAAAAACCCCTATTGGGCCAAAAACCTGCACCGAGGCTTCTCTAACCAGGCAAGTAGAGGAGGCCGTGACTTTCACCATGCTTCTCTGGGAATTTGTATTTGAAAGACCCCCTCGAGAATACATAGACCCCACCTAGTAAAGCCCGATTTGACCTTGTTTACTGCTTCAGTTCTTGGAGCATCGGATGGAGTAGGCCTGGATGTACGTGCTCGCGCGACTCTCGAAGACTACCTCTGCATAGTTGCCCCGACATTGGTACGAGCTGCTTTTTCATTAGACATTTTGAGGCATTTTGAAAAATTCATGATATGTCATACAGGTACACTTCGCAATTTTCGCCTTGGGGTGCGTCGAACCTGATGGACCTAATGCCTCGGCCTGCGGTTGAGCTGCACTTCATTAGCTTGGTGGACGGCCGGCCGCACCTAGTGGTACATACAAAGGAGGTGACAGGTCCTGACATATACCATTGACAGGAATTGCGCGATTCTGCCCGCGATAGTCTTTGGCATCGAAGATGGTAACATCGCCCGCGGCGGCGACGTCGGCGACGTCTTCAGCCGCGCCAAGGGTGAGAAGAAATGGGAGGAGCGCGAGGAATTTCATCATGAGTATTATATTAAAGGTTCTCTGGGGTGATTTGGAGTCTCTTACAAAAGAAGAATGTTGTTTGTGTTTAATACCAAGAAGCTAGAGAGCGATGGCGGGCGGTATTTATGCTTCGTGCCTATCCTTGGGCACCCAACGTTCGTAGCCTGACAATGTATCATAGTCTACAACTGGGTACAAGTCACATACCAAACTTCAAAGAAAGACAAGGACGGCTCGATGGATGCAGAAATTGCTTGCGGCAGAGACAAGAGTTCTGCCAAGAGTGAGGCAATATCGGCGTGGAAGTTCAGCTGAGGTCGGCAAAAGTTTTCATGCGAGTTCCGTGTATAAGTACTGCGTATTTGTTGTAATGTCAGGGAAGATTGCGCATATAAAAGTCTGGGCATTCAATTTAGAGTGAAGAATCTCAATACCACGCATTGCAGGCGCTCATTGCGCCGGCCGGCTACTCGCCCTAGAAATATTGACGGAGAAATTAGCTATACCGATGTGCATCATTGTCAATGTAGAAACAAAAGTTCCTTTTACCAATTTCTACATCAGAGGCAGATCGGAAGAGTCACGGTCCGTCTCGTCCAATTCTACTGCTGAGCTGCATCTGCGCCTAGTTCCGCATTGCATCGCGTTCGTACCACTTCGGTGCGACTGGAATGCCCTGCTGCTCAACACACCTACACGCACGATCATCAGCAGTCCAAATTCACATCGCGGGCCAGGGGCAGCTCTACCGCGGTACTGGGTAGCTTGAATCTTTGGCATCTATGCAAGCTCGCCAGATTGTCTGGCCAGGATCCCGATGCATTGCGAAGCCTTTCAGCAATTAGCAAATGGCTCCATGCTTTTGATGGTATAGAAACACAGCTTAGTTAGAAAGTATGAGTGCCTAGATCTGCAACATAGACAGTTGTCTATGTGTCAGATCTATTGTGCTCGGCCCCTCCCGTGCGATAATCCACGTTAAGTAAAGACTACCGAGCATCTAGCGAACTTTGTAGGGTACCGCGTTTGCTCTTGGCCGTGGCGCGGAAGCTGCCCGATTTGCCCGAAAGAGCGCAACGTCTGTCTTCAGCTTAGCCACAACCTCAATCAAGATGCCAGTAGTTGACTTCAGCTAAAGCATGACATGATCAAACTCTTGGCATGACTTTACATACAAGTCGAAGAACTCACCTGACCCAATGAAGTAGAAAGTCGACCCTGCCAGCCCATCCAGGTGCGCAGCTGTAATCGTTGGCACGAGCTATGGTTGGGTGCCCAGACTACCTTCGGTCATTTTCTTTCATCGCTGAAGGATGGCAAGCGGTCACTATCGCCTGCTTCTCACTCCTATTTATCCAATTCTAGCCATGTAGCCTACTTTTGACACACATTCAGCCACAAATGCATGATCACACACTGCTGACTCACTTGACATAGGCTGTGCGTTGATGGCTTGTGCGGCCATCCTGTCCACCGCACCATTAAAGTAATGGTAGTAGAACGTGGTGCAATACATCTCTATCTGAGTGTCCAATATTTATGGGGGATTCTATATGGACTAGTTCGTCTAGCTTTGAGATCTGTGACGTTGCTGCAGGATCGTAGTCCCTACCTGATCTCTTATTACCAGCTGTTTTATTACCACTTTGCTGAAAGCTGACTGACCCCTCATTTTAGAGTGCTCTACTAAACCCAATCCTCTTCAATTCAATAGCAATCACCTCGAGTTAATCCTACGCTGGGCATTGCATGGCCTGACGACCCCACTCGATGTACTGCCAGGCTTCAGTGGGAAGTGCAACCATGAACTAATGTTATATTTTTTGAGTTTTTATAGCATGCATTTAAGAGATATGAGTATGAGCTCTCTACTGGGACTTTTTCCTCTTCGGTTCACATATTCTTAGCTCAACGTCGCCCTCTTGCACACCATCGTCAGTAGACGGCGCCACAGGATCAGCCGCCCACTGCCACTCAACGTATATATTACAGAATGGCGAGCAGGATGGCATCCTTGAGGCATTCGGGATTGCACTGGAGAGGCAAGATACATGCAACACGTCGTCCAATATTGTTGAGCATAGAACCGCTACAATGGAAGGGCTGTAAGCACGCACAGGGCGACGTCTACGTGCGCGCCCAACTACGAGCATACATCCTTCGTTGTATGATTGCTATCGATGATAATTTTGTGAAAAGAAAGATTGCCATGTTCCTTGGCTGAACAATAATGCGTTAGCCGGCCTTATAGCTAATGCGGCCAGGATGAACCAAGTCTGTGCCAGCCTCACTTCTTGAAGGAGTTTCGAATGATCATGTCTGGTGAATTCATGGACTTGAGCTCATCCGATCGCAAACAAATGCCAAGGTTTTCTCCTCATGCGTATAAAATCCTCCGGGCGCTCTTCGCAACCCCGCATTTTCAGCGGCTGTCGCCTTCATAATATCAGGCCACTATTTACGGGATGTCAATAAGAAAGCCGCTGGCTGCGGGCAAACCTGGAAAGTAAACAATAAGAACAAGAAAACTACAGAAAGAAATACTACAATTAGTGAAAGAATAGAATAATAATCGGTCCCTTGATTGTCTGAGATAGTTATAGCTGATAAATCTTTGCTGTTAGGTGCACGCTGTATTTCTATAGTGGCGTCTGTTTGTCATCCACAATGAACAGCAAAACTTCGATGATGCATCTTCCGCTACAAAACGCACTTTCGCTTTCTTCCAATCAGTCGCACTAATTCAGCAGCAGAAAATGGTACAAAATGTCGGTTTCACAGCCAGCCTGCGTATTGGTGTCGACGTGGGAGGCACAAATACAGACGGCGTCATCATCGATCCATCACAGCTACAGTCTGATAACCGCGGAATCATTGCTTGGCACAAAGCTCCGACTACTCCAGAGCCTAGTCATGGCATCAGAAACGCCATCCAGGCCATGATCAAGACAGCAAACGTCCAACCTCCATCAGTAGCCAGCGTGACGATGGGAACAACTCATTTTGTCAATGCAGTCGTCGAGCGCGACGCTTCTCGCCTCTGCAAAGTAGCGGTCCTCCGCCTCTGCGGCCCATTTTCCCAGTTTGCACCACCTTGTGTAGACTGGCCTGCCGATATGCGAGAACTCGTTCTCGGTCACTACGCACTCGTCAAAGGTGGTCTCGAAATTGACGGTAGCTTAATTTCCGACATTTCCGAGGCCGAGATTGAGAAGCAAGGTCGTATCATCCAAGAAAAAGGCCTGAAAGCCGTCGTGATTAACGGCGTTTTCAGTCCCATCGACACGGTCGAAAAGCAAGAAGAGCGAGCTGCCGAGATTATCCGCCGAGTGGTGCCCGGATGCGATGTTGTCTGTTCCAAGGATATTGCAAATCTGGGCTTCCTTGAGCGCGAAAATGCTGCTATACTCAATGCCTCCATTCTGAGATTCGCCAGGCACACCATCAGAGCCTTTCAAAGGCCGGTCAAGGAATTTGGAATGACATGCCCAGTCTTCATTACTCAAAACGATGGAACGGTATTGTCAGGACAGGAGGCCGCACGCTTTCCCATTCGTACATTTTCTAGCGGCCCAACAAACAGTATGCGAGGGGCCGCCTTCCTGGCCCAGGGCCAACTGGAAGAGGCCGCCATCATCGTCGACATTGGCGGCACTACCACGGATGTCGGCATTCTGCAGACAAATGGATTTCCCAGACGGCAAGCGGCTTACAGTGAGTTTTCCGGAATACGAATGAACTTTCCTTGTCCACATGTCAAGAGCATCGGCTTGGGAGGGGGATCAATCGTGCGACGAGAGGGCACAGTCACCGTCGGACCAGACAGCGTTGGATACAATTTGACAAGAGATTCGGTTGTGTTCGGTGGCAACACTCTAACCGCGACCGATTACACTGTGCTGTCGGATCCAGAGCTACAACTCGGAAATCGCGAACTGGTTGCGAACCTAGTCTGGTCGCCTGAGCTCGAGACAATCCAAAGCATAATCAAAGATAAGTTGGAGCGTGTGATTGACAAGATTAAAACCTCCCCAGAGGATATTCCAGTCTTTCTGGTTGGTGGCGGCTCCATTATCGCGCCCGACTCTCTGCATGGCGCCAGCAAAGTCACCAAGCCGCGGTGGGCACAAGTAGCCAATGCTATTGGCGCAGCAATGGCCCGCGTGAGCGCCGTCATAGATGTAGTAAAGTCGACGGAATCGAAATCGTCAACGGCGTGGCTAGAGGAAATTGGCCAGGACGCCATCAGGAAAACAGTCGCCGCGGGTGCGTCCCCCGAGACCACCGAAGTTGTTGAAATGGAGTCTTTGCCGTTGCAGGTGGGTCTTTTACCGTGCCGCGTATGAATGCCGATATGCTAATAATACCGCAGTATATTAATCAAAAGACACGCTTCATTGTCAGGGCAGCAGGCGACTTTGACTTTTCCAAAGAGGTCACATCCAGCCTTAAAGAAGAACTTGATAAGGACTCTGACAGCGGAGCTTTCTCAGACAGAGAGCGCAGCACAAATACCGAGAAGAAGCCTGCACCAGTTGCAGAAGCCAACATTGCAACTTATAAGCCCAATGTGCGAGATCGTGTTTGGTACATTTCTGAAACGGACGTTGATTGGATCTCCATTGGCTGCTACATTTTGGGCACCGGCGGCGGTGGCTCTCCCTACTCTAGCATGATTCGGCTGCGTGAAGACCTCCGACGAGGGGCCATTATCAGAGTGATCAACCCCCAAGATTTGAAAGACGACGACAGCGTCGGGGGCGGCGGCGGCGTGGGAAGCCCCACGGTCGGTATCGAGAAGCTACCGGGCAACGAATTGCTGGAAGCCCAGCAAGAGCTTGCCAAGGTGTGTAGCAAGAGCATTACACATGTAGTCTCGGTCGAAATCGGAGGCAACAATGGCTTGCAGAGCATGGTTCTAGGTTCCACGACCAACATGAACCTCCCTGCCGTCGACGGCGACTGGATGGGACGCGCATACCCGACGCAATGGCAGACCACCCCCGTCGTCTTCAACGAACGATCTCCGATTTGGTCGCCGACAGCCATGGCCGACGGCAACGGCAACGTGGTGGTCATGACGAGGACCACGTCTGATTACATGGTGGAAAAGGTCATGCGCGCAGCGCTCAGCCAAATGGGCTCGCACACAGCCACCGCGGACGCGCCCGTAACCGGCGCAGAGACGAAGCGCTGGATCGTCGAGAATACAATCTCGCAAGCCTGGCGGATCGGACGCAGCGTCGTGCGGGCGCGACAGCAGAACCGCGTCGACAGTGTCGCCGAGGCCATCATTGACGAGTGCGGCGGCCCGAGCGCCGGACGCGTCCTCTTCAAGGGCAAGATTGTCGGCGTCGAGCGGATGCTGCGCGGCGGCTACGCCTACGGCGAGTGCATCATTGAAGGTGCCGACGTCAGGGCAGACGACACGTCCTCCGGACAGTCAGGCGGTGGCAGCGGCGGCGGTCCCGGTGCCGCCTTTCGCGGACGCATCAAGATCCCCTTCAAGAATGAGAATATTGCCGTTTTGAAGCTGCACGACGGCATTGCGGAAGAGCGTCAGCAAGATGTGCTCGGAATTGTGCCAGATCTCATCACTGTCATTGACGCGCAAAACGGCGAGGCGGTTGGCACGCCAGAGTACAGGTACGGCCTGCTGGTCATAGTCTTGGGGCTCGCAGCAAACGATAAGTGGACCAAGAATGAGCGAGGAATCGAGCTTGGCGGACCGCCTGGGTTTGGTTTTCATCATTTAAAGTATCAGCCGCTGGGGACCTTTACAGAGCCGAAGAGTGTCATTGACGAGTTTAACACGTAAAGTCATCATCAGCTTGGGGGCAGATGGCATGACGCCTCCCAGGCAAGCTATGCAAAGGTGAACTCCAAAGTATAAATATATTCAACTGACACTTCGTGACTAGGTATAATATTCTCTTCCGTGATGAATTACTGAAGCAAAGCTAGATTTCTTGGAGCAACATGTAGCGTCGTCTTTGAACTCTGCATTTCCTTGGCATGGCGGAAATGAAGTAGAATTAGGATTCCTCATCCCACAACTCTCTCAACTAAAACTCATTGCCTAGTTCTTTAAGTCGAGAACGAGTCAGCAGTCTCTCCAATTTCCCAAAGGGGTCTTCGTCTTTCGACAATCTCTGGATCTTTGACAGTCGTTGCACAACCGTCATCCCCTCATGATCCCGCTGACCAAGCTTCACTCCCTTGGCGATAAGACGACTCATTTCTGCAATTGCCTCGCGTTCATTGTATGCACCAACTCGTAGCTCTTCAATCACAATGTGTGAGTACCCTTGGCTGTTGCTATTCATCCAGTTTGGGTCAAAGGGGAGCACATAAAGATCCTCGCGACGCGCAAAGTGTTTCCTAAGAGCTATGCCGAGCATGAGACTCGGGTTGCTTGGCTTTCTCAGTTGAAACAATGTCTCGAATCGTTTTACATCATGGCTTTCGATGATCTGGAGAAAAGCCCGGTCAACTGCAGGCTGCGAGAACATAGGCGAGAGCACAGGAAGGTGACTCTCCAATTTCTTTGACAAATTCTTGTCTTTGACCAGCCAACCATGCAAAATGCCGTCGGATTCCTGTGGTGTAGGCCGAGCATCATGATCCAGCATTCCAACCGTAATTTTCTCGCTTATAACTGAGGAAGCGAGAGCATTTCCGAGAAAGGACGTCCCGTCTGGAAATAAGTCATTGACGCGCATTCCATACCCTAGGAACTGCGCAAAAAGTTTGCGGAACGAATGGCGTTTGCTATCGGCTACCATCACAAAGAACATGTAATGGCTGAGGTTGTACCCGGCCGCCATGGCGGCATTCACATCTGCGCCGTAATCTAGCAGGACTTCAACAACCTGCCTCATCCGCTTTTGGTGTCCAGCGTCGACCTCGATCTTGTCTTTGACTAGTGAAGTGACGGCCAATTGAAGAGGAGAAGAAGGGCTGCCCATGTTCGCATTCGCACCCTTTTCCAGGAGGAGTTTGGCCACTGATGCGCTCCAGTCTCTCGCTTTGGGCATGAACTGCGTGGCAGCCCCTTCGACTGCGTAGGAAAGCGCGGGCCATCCAAGTTTCGAAACAACATTGAGGTCTTGAGGGAGCGAGATGAGAATTCTGATGGCTGCATCATTTCCCTTTCTGATTGCCTTCATCAGTGGAGACATGCGCGAAACCGGTCCTGGGAAAGCTGCGTGGGCGTGGAAACGGTGAAAGAGAGTTTCATGAAGATCGGGGAATACGTTTTCCTCCACAAGAAGATGATGAATCGTGTATGCAGCACTGATCTTTGGAATTTTGCGTAAAGGAGGCACATGAAGATACTTGGGTTCAATGGCCAGGTAGCAACTTCTGTGGTGATCGAGCACCAACTGAGCGACTTGGAAATCGTGTCGAAACATGGCAGGTAATAAAGGGAACCAGCACTGATCATGTATTCTGGCCCTTCTGGCAAAGTCTCTCAGTCTTGCACCAGAGTCCAATTTCTCGTTGAATCTGCCGATGCTCAAGAATTCCCAGAGTCGAAGACTAAAGCTGTTGATACTTGCACCGTGGTAGATCAATTTTTCGACAAAGTTCTTATGGCCATGAGCCACCGCGACGTGAAGCGCAGTAGAAACCGCGTTTTTTCTGTAGTGGCGGGCGTCCACCTTTCCCTTATTCTTGATGCTGCGGTCCAAGATCTTTATAGCCATGTTCCCATATTCCACAGAGACGCCGCTGGCGCTGGCCGCCCACATGATGGCGGAAGAGTTGCGCGTCAAGGCGTCTTGACGAAACAAAGCGTCGACTGCATATTCGTGAATGTTTCGATGAGACCTGATCAGACTGAAGAGATCTCTGAATTCAAGGTATTGGCAAATCATTACGCGCAACTCGGGTGGCACGTCCAAAATCGTGCGGCGCGCCATGGCGAAGATGCTATGATGCAAAATCAAAGAGGTTGCAGCTGATAAGAGCAAAATAGGGCTTATTGAAATACATTCATAGACTCCCATCGTATGCGCTGCGCCTGGCGTTTGCCATGAGCGCCTGGAGCCGGTGTTTGCAGCGTGCTGGCGGTCAAGCAGGCCGAGCAACCGCCTCCCTGCTCGAGAGGCGGTGCGCGAGAACTAGTTGCGCATTTCAGGAAAGATAGCACAACAAGCATTGCGAGAAGATGATGACGGCAAAATAAAGAACGGATTCAAGAGGTAGGGTGAACTTGGTCTGAAGACAATTGCCGCTATTTGAGCACTGAATCATGGAAGGAAAATGCTAGCCATGACTCGGTAATGAAGGATACAGAATCAACTGCTAGATGAGAGGACATAAGAATTATGGAAGTCGCAGCCGAGGGGAAAGGCCTCCGTTGTCGGAGCTAGAGTCTCGTCAGCGTCATCTACCCATCTCATGTACAAAGCCGATAGCTGCTCCGTGGGCTATCGACAGCCCATGAAGTCCGAAACGAAAATAAGCATATCTGTAAGATCAACATTGAATTTGAAGAAAGAAGAATCTTGTGTAGCTTGGCATATTCTGCGCTCTTAATAGCTAGCCCACTCATCCTGACGAGTCTCGGCTTCCATCTGTTCCCGCTCGTCGAGCGTCAACTCACTCTTGGCTGACCCCAAATCAACAAACGCAAACATTGCTAGTGCCACTCCCGCCAGACCCACAGCAAGCAAGAAAGCGACCTGGTAATTCTCCTTCAAAGGCAGATGCGAGGTGTGCGCGACAGCCACATTGCCGAAGCCCAGAAAGACGCTGATGCCCAAGAACAGGGTGCTGTTGATCAGCGCCCCTGCCAGCCCTTGCCGCCGCGCAGGTAAATTTGTTGTGATGAAGATGTTGCTGACGGTGAATGTGATGTCAATGCCGACAGACGACGCAAGCATCGCTGGCATCACCCAAGCCCAATAATTTGGATCTTCTGGCATGAGGCCGAAAAGAAGGCAGCATATCAAGAAGCCAATACCCGATATTATCAACAGAATACGACCAGGGAGGAGGTGGAGAGTCAACCCGCCGACAGCCCCAAGAACGAGGCCGCATACAATCATGGGAATGTACCAGACTGCAGTTTGCAAGGGACTCTTTTCCAGAACCAGCTCAAGGTAGAAGCTGCTGTAGAAGAGGAATATTCCAAATGTCCCGTATGCAAAGAATAGACCGACGACGAGAAGCTTCATACCCGGCGGCGAGAAGAGGTCAGACGGGACCAATGGGTTCTTGGCGACCCAGCCCTCGACATATACAGACACTGCCAGGAAGCATACGCCCGCGACAATGGTTGCAATAATTTGTGGACTCGCCCAGCCATTCGGCGCCTCTGAGCTCTCAGTGACGGAGAAGACGAGTAGAATAAGACCCGGTACAATGGTGACTGCCCCTAACCAGTCCATTGAGAGCCCGTCAGGAGCCCGCGCACGCAGGTCCCGCGGAACACAAAAGACGCCAGCGAGGCAAATAACACCAAGCATCATCGCCCCAATCCAAAAGTACCATCTCCAGGACAAGACTTGGCCAGTGACGCCTCCAATCAGTATGCCAATAAAGAACCCAAGCGGTGCAAAGGCGCCATAAATGGCAAACACAAAGTTTTTGCGCGGGCCCGGCCGGTACGTCTTGCCAATGAGCGTGATGCCGGCCGGCAGAAAGGCGGCCGCCCCGATGCCCGTCATGGCGCGACACACGACGAGCGTGACAAAGTTTTGGCCAAAGCCCGCGGCGAGACACCAGACGGTGACCCAGACGAGGCCGCTGTTGAAGATGACAAAGGCGCCGTACATGTCGCTGAGTCGGCCGAGCGGTAAGAGGCATGTTGCGGAGGCGAGAGTGAAGACGCTGGACGGCCATGTTTGAGACGCGGGGGGTATGTCGAGTTCGACGGCGAGCAGAGGCAGGACAATGTGGAATCCCGAAATGAAGAATTCCTATTTTTTTTTTTTTTTCGCACGTGAGATTGGAGATCAGAGGTTACGGCCTCTCAATGTGCTATTTGGAGCTCGACGACAAGGACTTACAGACATGGCCATGGAACCAAGAAGCGAAACGACAAAGCCCAACTCGTGCCAAAAAGTCGTAAACACGGCCGGTCGCTGCCTTCCGAGCTTCTCTGCGTCTATGAGTAAGACCTCATGATCAAGGACCCTACTCGCAGACTCTGGCTCTCGCATTCTGGAAAAGACGGTTTGTCTTGCAGATCGGTAGTGGCGCACTGGAGAAGAAGCAACGGAATATACTATAAAACAGAGAAACAACTTTGAATAAGATTTATTACAGTCAGGAAAAGAAAAGTTTTCAGATTAAATTTTTTTTTAAGGTGTCGTGCCGGAAAATAAGCTTCAATTATTGACATCTCAACAGTCTCGCAGTTGCGATTGAAGTCGGGCTGTCTGATTGGTCCTGTCGCGAAACTTGCTCGTCTGAGGGGTCTCATCCCGACGCAAATGTCATTAGATTGATCCAAACAAGTCTCCACGCCGTTATCACGCCAATTAGTGCCCCCGCAACGACTTGAGCTTAGTTGCTCGTTATTCATGCCAATTTGGTAACGAATAGCTCCGCGCAGACAATCTTTGCCAGGTTTGGGTAAAGCCCTACATTCGTCTTGGACGGCTAACTAGCTACCTGTCGGCTGCAGGCCACGAAAATTCCATCACTTGTCAGCGCAGAACTGATTGTTGGAGCGGCCTCTTATTATCCAGTACAAGGTTGTGCTATTCCGCTCTTTTTCCGAGGTCCCGCTGACGTGATGATGCCAACTTGAGAATTTGCGACCAGTTCAGCTGAGCCGCATCTGGGTCCGGGTTGAATGCAGACCCCGGTTACGGAAAGTTCAAGTAGCTGGTAGTCGCCCGGAAAAAATACCAGAATCTATTTGCATCCGCCTTTGTTGAGAAGAAACAGCTTTACAGCGGATCTCACTGCACCGCCTTGCAGTGATATTTGGGATCTGACGACGCATGAAACAGTCAAGAGAAAGCTCGCCAAGAAGCAAAATTCATTTGAGAAACTAGTGCTAATAAAATTTTACAGCAACACGTATTGGTACATTGTACACGCCAACTCAACATTTCCTCTTGGCTGCCTCGACTTCAATGTCTCTCATGCTTTGCAATGAAAAGCCCTGCAGGTCAATATGCAGCATCTCTGCCAATGTCAAAATGCCATGGGGTATATCCCTCCAAGTCAGCGTGTTGCTGTTAAGCGCCTTGATTGCAGTCTCGCAAATGGCGGCAACATCGCAGCTGTCCCAGACGCCCTCTCTTCGGTTCGCGCGACGCAAGAGCTCGAGGCACCGCGCATGTATGGCGACGTCTTTGGTACCAAAGCAGATGTAAAACAGCGCCCAGATCATATTCCCGTCAAAGGTGAATCGCGGATGGCCTCTCGCTGCGTCCATGGATATTATTTCCTCGGCTATGCTCAAAATCTTTTCGCATTCTGCACTGGGAAAGTCTTCGCTGTAATCGATGGCTTTGGCTATGATATGCCAGACTGCATAGTCCAAGTCCAGGGCTGCAATTTGGCGGACATTTTGTTTCTGCTGCGCAAGTGGCTGGAATCGCTGACGCCAGACAGCAAGGTCTGATCGCGCAGCAATCTTTGCCGCAGTTCTCATATCGCCATTCATTGCAGGTGCCCGGCTCTCAATGCTCCCCGTAGTGTCGACAAAGATTTCTTCTATGTTGACGGGTTGCGGCGAGTAGGCTTTTGCTTGCCACATCCTTGTATTGAATGTCTGGTCGATATTTCGAAATTTCATCTCCGCCTCCTTGAGGCTTGTAAAAGGTACATTGGGATCGCCCATGCTGATTATTGGTACGTTGAAGTCGAGATCGGCAAAGGCGTCGACGCCAATGTACATGGCCAGGTACTGCCCGAAACAATAGAACATGTCTTGGAGAGTGAATAAGAGATTGTCAATGCTGTCGCGGCCAATGAGCGCCGTCGTGGCGCTCGTCTGTCTCGAGCGGAAGCGCTTGGCAATGTTGCAGCCAGCGCGCAGATGACGCGCGGCTTCGGCACTGCGCCCATTCAAATTTTCAATGGTTATAAAGATGGCACAGCAGATGAGGACAACGTCAAAATGCGCAGTGTTTTCAGAGGACAGAAGCGGATTCAAGGCTGCGATGGCATCATTGTAGCGCTGCATGGATTCGGTGCAAAACACAGTCGTGGACTGCGCATGACCAGGATTGCAAGGATCGCTCACAAAGTATCGATGTGCTGCACCTAGCGCGCATAGAGCATGGTTGATGGCCGCCGTGGAGTGCGAAAGTGGGAGTGCGTAGCCGTACCAAAAGTCTGATGGCCGGGACGCGGCTATGTCCTCAACGACACATGTCCGGACATGGTGTAGGAGGGCGTTTTCGGCACCATTAGCTGAACCTATGGCAGGCGGGATGCAGGCACGAGGAAGCAGACGTCTCTGTGATGTCCCGCCTGGCTGCGTGGTTGTGTGCTGGAAACACTGTGGGGTCAAGTGCCTTTTCCGAGCGTCCTTGCCCAGACTGTCCGACGTGAATTGTATAAATTGCGTATATCCATCGCACCTGTAGCCTTTGGTGCTGCAGCGTTGACAGATTGGCTTTGTCTCGTCACACTTGACATGACGGATTCTGTCAAGACACACACGTCAGTATATCATTTCATTGATACTTGATCAACTTGGAAAGAGAAAGCACAAACTTGCTGTGGAATGTTAGCCCTGAGAGGTAGGATTCGTGTGGTGCCGCTGCAACCAAGTGGTTCTGCCTACCAAGTGATGCAGCCAGTCTTGCTGCGCGTTGTTCCCCGCGCCCGTGTCTGCCGCGGCATGCCTATTGGAATGTTGTCTGTATGTTTGACGCGTCTCATGACCGGCAGAGCCTCAATCTGTTTGTGGATGATGGCTTTTTCCCCTTGCTTCGTATCAAGCTTCGAGAGCCAAGACCTGAGCGGGGACCAACGGCATATACCTTGAGCGACATCGGGAGATGGCCCACTTGCGGGGCCCTAATTCCGAGTTGCGGACTTAGCAAGTGTCACTGGTAAGTGAGCAAATTCTGTAGGCAGTGGACAACCAGCAAGTACCTCGGAGACGCATCATTGCTCGACAGTTTTTTTCTTGTGATTTTTTAATGGCTGGAAAATATGCTGACTGAGTGTGAAAAAACGCCAGTTCTGGGAATTCGTGGGCGAAATGTGGGTGGATGCACCTCAACTGAGGGTACCTCAGTGAGTTC